CAACAAACAGACATACATTTTAAGACATATTCTCTTTAAAAACAGACAATAACTTCAGAATGAAAAAACTACTTCTAGAAATGTGCAGGATGGCTAAATTTGTGCAATTGAACACAAAGTTGTATTTAACAATCACCAACACTAAAGACAACAGAGTTGTCTAAATACTCATTTAAAAAAATAACTCCATTTTGTTAAAAAAAAAAACAACTCTATGATCCTACCAATTAAATCTCTCATCAAAGTTATCAGTCAGTGAAACTTGGCTTATTTTAGAACCATCTCTTGTTATTTATTAACTATTTACCATTACTCTTACCACTCAGGAAATACTGGTTATTACCTCGGCCATAAAGCAAGAAGCAAATGCATCAACCAGAGGACTAGTTTAGAACCTTAGTTTAAAGCAAACGTTAATTACAAATAAAAATCCAAAACCCCTATTTTAAAAAAGAAGGGAATTTAGACACATTAATGAAGGTTCTGGTTGGAAGAACTTGCCTTTCCAAAAGCCAAGTATTTCATCCTGCATCCCCACGCCCCCTTATTCAAGGCATTTTAATGTTCTTACCTTACAGTCTATTTTGCCTTTGTTTTTATCATTGGATTCTTGTATAGCTTTCCTAGGCCACACACGACTAACAAAGGGGGAAATCAGAGGGTATATATATGGTTCCAGGAACTTTTTGTAGACCCAGAGCAGAACTGGAATGACAATGCAGGGAATGCACACCATTGTCCCAGGCTTGAGATCCTGAACTGCTGATAAACAAGAAGAAAGAACAAATTAGATCATCATAGAGTAATGACTGAAGGAATTTACCTAGATTAAGATATATGAAAAGACTATTTCTACACTGAAGGAAAAACTTAAATCACACTACAGGTATTAGCTTAAAGCAAGTCTATTAAATAAAAATGCTGCTATCTACAAGGTAAAAGAATAACAGGTGGTAGACCTGAAAATAATAGTGAGGTGCCTCCCTCCAAACCTCTCCAATCACTGCTCCACAACCATAGATTTGATGATAAAGGAATGACACCATCATTTGCGGGGTGCTAGGCAGTTAAGCCCTTTACATGTATCAACTCATTTAATCTTCAAAACACCCAGTGAGGTTGGGTACCCTGGCATTTCCATTTACGGATAAAGAAAAGGAGGCACAAAAACATTAAGGAATTTGGTGATTTTGACATACGCCAGTTTAGTGTGAATTAACTCCCAGGGCCTAATCATCTCCAGGGACTGAACAATGCTAAGGGCAAATCTTGTAATATGGAACTCACTAAGATAACCACTCTGGAAGACCTCTAGGCTGCATACTGGCTGGCCTTTCCCAGCCAACAACTCTCCCTTGACAGATTTGCTTTTTCTTTTTAATGGCAATAAAGGGGTATTGAGTAATAAAAGTTTTATTTAGTATTATTGGTATAAGTCAATTGTCCATTTCCAAAAATTAACACCTAAATTTCCTTGATAATTAGAAGTCAACTTGGAATTTCTCAAGATCAGCAATTTCTTGAAAAAGAGCCAATACTACTTCCATAACACACAATTAAACCGAAGACCTCTTAAATTTACAAGAATTTTTAATCCCTTAGCAAAGGCTTTAAAAACTAAGAAACTTCAGAACAGTGCATGAGGCTAATAATTCAGCATGTTAAACCAATTTTTAAAATATTGTAAGCTAAGTAGTATTTAGTGGTAAATGAGTAAGTACTGCTACGCTCAGGCAATTTAAAATGATTCACAACACAAGTGAAGAGTGGTATACATAATCCAATCTGAATGTGGCTTTGAAATGAATTACAAGAGCTGTAAACAAATAAAAATGTAAATGTGTATCAGGGAATGACCAACTCTTTTATAAGGGATTCATAACTGGAGTCTTTAAAACAGTCCCCTAGACAAATTAAAATAATTTTAGAATTTGCCAAAATATTTTGTTCCAAAAGTTTAAAGAATCAATCAAAATAAGCCAAACGAGCAAGAGTCTTTTTCAGCATTTTTCAAGAAATCATAATTTTTGGCTACTAGACATTTAGAATCTGATCTGAAAAGACTTCTTACTGGTTTAGGTACCATAGCATGATAATCAAACAGGATGGCTGGCAGCTGCCTGGATTTGAGCCCTGCTTTCACCATTTTCTAGATAGCGTTCCTGGGCAAATTATTTAACCAGACGGTGCCTTAATTCTCCCATGCGTTAAAAGAGGACAATAATAGTACCGATCTCACAGGGATGTAGTGTGGATGAGATACATTAGTAGGAATACAAAGCTCAGAACAGTGTCTGCATATATTAAGTACTACGTAAATGTTGCTACCATAAGAAAAAAACGAAACAAATCCCAAACACATCCAAAAGTTGTAAACTGTCCAAAGTCCACACTGCAGGTATCAAGTAACTAGAACTGGGTAAAACCAGAATTCCTAATTCTGGTTTCCTAGCTCAGTGCTCTTGCATTTTCTCTCCCCCAAACACGATCATCATGTTATTCCCCTTTCTACCAAACTTTCAAATGCAACTAAAACCCTTCAAAACAACTGGCAATGCTACCGAGCACCAAGCTAATACGATGACAGGCAATCCCTCCATCATAAAGATTCAGGTTTTTACCTACTTGAAATTGTGCTTTAAATGAATTCTCAAGAACAATTAGTACTAATTACTTTTGTTATAATTATGGCTTAGAAAGGTCTAGAAGGTGACTATGATAAATTGATAAAATCATGATTTTATTTACTCTCTCCAAGCCAATTCTCGAATATACAACACAGCGAGAAAGATGGATTGAAACGTGGAGGAGAGGAATTTCTTGCATTCGACTTAGTCCAATACAACGGAACAGAAAAAGGCGGAGGCTCTATGAGAACAAGAGCAGCTGTGGCGGGGGTACGCCACTTCCTCTAAGTGACCAGTCGGCGGATCACTTCACTGGAGACAAAAGAGACCGGGAGAGGCTAAGTCAAAGGCAAGGACTGAAAGACAGGGGAGAGTACAAGCGAATGGTGGCGACGACGATAAAAAGTGATACCGACAATGCAGGCCAGAGAGCGGATCCTGAAGCAAAGAGAGGCGTACGGAGGAAGGAAGGGGTGGAGACCGACGCAGGGGTAGGCACAGGGCAGGGGCGCTGGTGTACCTTGAGGGCAGGAGAACCGCGAAGCCCCGGCCGCAGCCCGGACCCACCCAGCCCCGCTCACCCGCGGCCACCAAGCCCCAGTGACGGTGTCCAGGCTTCCGGAGGGAGGGTCGCGGGGTGACGTGCCGCAGCCAACCCAACGGGCACCGCAAGAGGGACCGACAAAGGGGCGCCTGCGTCAGCCTGATGACGCACCCGACGTAACGGTGACACCCTGCGGGGACGGCGGCAGCTTCCGGCGCAGCCCCGGCAATCAGCTTAGAGCTTGCGGGCGAGGCGGAAGCGCTGTGCTCCCCAGTTGCCCTGTCACTGGAACAAGATTTACGACGCGGACCCAGTAAAGGATAAGCGCCTGTACCGGTGACTCACCAACAGGGAAGCTTGCGGTGATGGCTAGGATGTTTTCGAACGCAGTTGAGGCTAAGCTACTCACCCTGCTACAAGGGTCTTAAATTCAAGAGCAGGGGAAATTAACATCGTCAGCTTTGAGCGGGTATTTTTACAAGAAATGGGTATACAACTTTCCTCCCACCAGGACAGCTATAATCAGCGAAATCTAAGCGATGAAGAAATTCGAACCACTGCTGGTCGCACTGTAAACGGCACTGCTTTAGGAGTCCTGCAGTTCCTCCAATGTTCATTAAAATTACCATATGACCCTGGAATTCCACTCTTGGTATACACCCAAGTGAAAGGATAATATGCCCACACAGGAACTTTTATAGTTCACAGCAACACTAACAGTAGCTAAAAGAAAAAAAGCCCCAAATGATATGATGAACCACAGGTACATGCTACAACCCTGAAAAAAATCATGCTAAGTCAAAGCCAGTGAGGAAGGTCACACTGTGATTTCATTTATATGAATTGTCCAGAATAGGCAAATCTACAGTCAGAAATAGGCAAGTAGTCACCCAGCACCGGATTGGGGGGAGGTGACAGCCAACCACTACCAAGGTTCCTCTTTGGGATCATGAAAAACTCTAAAATTCACTGTGCTGACGGATGCATAAATGAATATACTAAATGCTACTGAAGACTGTACAGTGTGTTAAATCTCAATAAAGTGGGTGGAAAAGAGATTCCGAAATTTCCCCATGTTCTAATTCCATTTTACGCAAAGCACCAAAAGATGCAAAACAGCGTGTTTTATGAAAACTCATTTGATCCATTTTGTGATGACACTTGAAATAGATTCACTAATTGAGACAACCAACACTCTGCTTTTACTTTTATTTGCGTTTATTTTTTGCAGCATTTATTCCCGGGCCATAAGTTTTTGTTTCTTCAATTTCTTCTGGGATATCTGGGGAAAAGAAAAAAGCACTATTAAGATTCCAGAAGACTGTATCTCAATGAAAGAGTAATCGGAAATTTCAACATAAAGGGAAAAACATGAAGAGTCCTTTGGCGTAGAGAAGTGGTATGGGGAGAAGGGCAGCCAGGAGGACATCACAGTAGTAAACAGGAGATAACCAAGACAGCAGCCAGGGTGCCCAGCTGGTAAGAACTAAGTGGCAGCAAGGATGGAGGATAATATTTAACGATAAAATCAACAGAAGACAAATCCATTAGGTGGATCACACCATTAGGTGTGAAGAATCACTCCCAAGTTTCAGGCTTAAACATCTAAATGTAATCATATACTGAAAACAAGCTTATTGGGGGGCAGGGAGGAGAGCCCAGTTTTGGACATGTTGCATTTGAACTGGCTATGGACATCTAGGTGGGGACATAAACAGATAATCACATGGTTTTAACATACTGAACAATACAAAGTTACTATTCACTGTTAATCAAGAAACTAATGAGACCCATGAAAGCCAAAATAAAATGGTTAGAAGAGGTTGCTGGTTGCTCAGAATAGTCTCCTTTCATGGTTATTCCAAAGGTGTCCTAAGTTAGTCATCACAGCAACCACAAATCTAACATACCAAATAAACAGAGCAGAGACTAAGTAATTGACCTTTTTCTTCTGGGCAACCTCCTCTTCTGGTTTAGGAACAATCTGTTCTTTTTCAGTAAGGATCATCTCAATGTGGCACGGAGAGCTCATGTATGGGTTGATCCGACCATGAGCTCTATAAGTCCTGCGCCGCATCTTGGGGGCTTTGTTCACCTGGATGTGCTCAATGACCAGAGAATCTACATCTAAGCCCTGGAACAAAATCAGGTAACATCTTTATCTTAATACCACAAACTGCATCATTCAAGTGCCTGCCTGAAAAAAAATAATTTGAAAGGCAATCCTTAGGACTTTAAATAGCATATTTGTTCAAGCAGTTTTTTTTTAACCTTTATTCTAAGTGTCCTTCCTTAAATCTAACTACCAAAACTCCGTGCTAAATGCACCAAGTTTGTAAGTGGCATTCATAAAGGAGTGGAGTTACAGGATCTGGTAGCGTCTATGTCTATTTCTAAGCCTTGATGATAAACAGGATTTTGACAGCAAGGCTTAGCAGCTAGAAGGGCTAAAGCTGAACAGACCCACATTAATTCCAGTTCTGACCCAATTTTCAAAATGCAAAAGGGTAATGGATAATTCCTCAAATGGGTAAACCTGTTTTGTTGACACAGGTTTTGTTCAGTTAAACATAGTTGTTTTAACTTCTAACTGAAATTTAATGCCTCTCAACTATGAATGTAGGCAACAAACCATATTAATCATTACTACGGCAATCACAGTTCCTTTGGAATAGTACATATTTTATTATATTTAAAAATATCCTGTGAAGGGATTCACAAACCATAGTGTAAAAAAGGTCCATGGCACAAGAAAGTTTACAAACCCTTGGTAAAATACTCAAGGAAAAAAAAGCGTTTCTTTTACATGTACTGGGATTATAAGGGGGGAAATTCTAAAGACTTAAGCTTTAAGTAACTGCAGACCATGCTCCTGAAATGCTTTACAGACAAAAATTTTGGTCTGTTGGAAACTGGAGGTAGAGATTTAAGAGAATTCTTTTAATGGAGAATTTAGCTACTTGAGAAAGCAAGACAATCAAGGAAATAAATCTGGACAACAGCAACTTTAACTGAATAACAATCCAAGTTACATGTATAAAGATATTTATGGTCTGGGTACCTTAAGTTCAGCATTACTCTCTGCATTTTTGAGCATGTGCAGTAAAAATTCAGCACTTTTTTTGGGCCACCGACCCTGCGTCCAGCCCCACTGTTTGGCCTAAAAAACAAACAAAACCAGAGAGCCCATTCGTCACTTCCCCCAATTTAAATCAATGTTACAAGATGAGTTTATTTTAACCAACACCAAGGTTGCTCAGAAAATGTTTTTTTTCATGGTTAATCCAAAGGTGTCCTAAGATTGTCATCACAGCAACCAGAAAGAGCCTGATTAAAGGCAGACCATGGCCATTCTTACTCCCTCAATCACCTTCTCTAACAGTTTGTCTTTTTAAATGACAACTATGAATTCTCACCTGGGCACACCTACCAACTCCACCATTGTAGCGACGGAATGGCACACACTGCTTCTTTAAAGTGACATCCTTCAGATACTTAGTGGCTTTTCGGATATGCATACCCTTAATGGCCTGCGCTGTTTCACGAGTGTTCTAAGTATAAATAATATAAGCTGTGAACCATATATTTTTTTAAAAACCACAAATTTTAAACATTAAATTCTAACATTTTCAACATGTCAACATTTATCAACAGCCAAAACCTTTCCATTATTAGGATGTGAGCTGATACAATGAAGAAAAAAAATCTGTGATTATGAGCCGAGGGAGGTTTTGTTTGAAGGTGGAAAAAAGTGAACCCTAAGCATGTTTATTCACTTTAATACGTTCTCCATCATCTTATGAACTACAATTACGTGTCCCATATCTTGATATGCACACTAGGTTCTCAAGCAGTTCTCTGGTAGTTTTACCCAATTCCGCAAATCCTAAATCAAAGTACTCATTATATACTGATGATCACGGACCAAAAGGTGGCTACTCAAAATCGATTTATTTTCACGGTAAATCCAAAGGTGTCCTAAGAAATGCATCACCGCAGCTACCTTTTTAGAATGGTTAAAAAATACTCACTAGAACTCGTGAAACAACTCTTTTAGAGCATAACTATGATTCACATACCTTAAAGTGAACACGAAGATTTGAACCTCTCGACTTGCATGCTAAAAAATACCAAAAAGAAAAGTTTTGGTTAATTCTGGGCATCTTGTTGCCTCTTACTCCAAAATAAAAAATGTTTCGTGTTCACTTACATTTTGTGGGATTTTCTGGGTCAAGTGAATAGCGAACCATTTTTAGAGGTCACCTGGAAACGAGCAAGTTTAATTCTGTCAACATATTTACAGTAACTTACACGGTTTATGTACTAAACGCTGCCCGCAGCTGCTCAGAGAGTAGCTGTTTTCATGATTAATCCAAAGGTGTCCTAAGAAATGCCATCATCGCAGCCATCCTTCTATCCAGTTTCTTCCCGTGTGGAACTACCAGTGACTACAGCAGTGCTGACACTAGACTAGTGACAAGGACATCATTCCTTTTACCCTCTGGAAGAGAACACAGCCTGTTTCAATCCAAGCCTGGATCCTTCAGACGAAAGTTAACTCGACCCACTACAACCCTCTACAGGCTCCCCCTACAGAAACCTCCTTTACTCACACAACTTCACACGTAATCCAGTCTTTTTTCCACACTTCCAATTACCCGCTTTAAGCGCCGCTGAACTCGAAACATTTAACGTTCGGCCACTGAATAAAAGCCTCGACCCTACTTGACTTTATTCCCACCCCCCCAAATTTCTCTCGATGCGGCCACAAATGCGCTGCGTTAGCAGCCACCACTCACCGCGAAGACACTGGGCCTCCGGAGTCGGGAACCACCACAGCCTGCCTGTACGCCCGGCCAACCACCTTCCCAACCATCGCGCCCCGCTGAGGCCTGAGAGCACCGGGGCGCCAAGCGGGGTACTCCGACACGTCTCCCCGCACAGAACGCCGCTCCCAGGGAGAAATCAGTAGCCGCGAGAGTCCTCCTCCCGAGGGTCTCGAAATCGGCACCGCCAAGGCCAGGATGGCAACGATAACCAGAGGATTCCCCACTCGGAAGACTCGCCAAAGAAACACTCACCTCAGGCCGCTGACCGGAAAAGGAAGAGCGGTGGTTCATGGGAGAATTCATGAGAACTCGACATCTCGCGAGATTCCCAGCCAAAGGAACGAGATTTGAAGAGGTGGGGGAGGGCGGAGGAGAAAGGGAGTGTGGAATATGTTTGACAAGATCTGAAAACGAATTGCCCCCTTAGGAACCGTCTCAAAATTCTTCTTTTTTGTTTCCAGAAATAAAGTTATGGATTCTAAATATCAATCAATTAAAAACAGGTTTGTTCAGAAACAGACTCAGAGACTTAGAGAACGAACTTATGGTTACCAGGGAGAAAGGTGCGGGGTGGGGGGGAAGGATAGTTAGGGAGTTTGGGATTGACATGTACACACTGCTCTATTTAAAATGGATAACCACGACTTCCCTGGTGGCACAGTGGTTAAGACTCCACGCTCCCAATGCCGGCGGCCCGGGTTCGATCCCTGGTTGGGGAGCTGGGTCCCCCATGCTTGCCGCAACTAAGAAGTCCACATGCTACTGTGAAGATCCCGCATGCCGCAACTAAGACCCGGCTCAACCAAAATAAAATAAATATTGAAAAAAAAAAGGGATAACCAACAAGGACCTACTTACTGTATAGCACAGGGGGCTCTGCTCAATATTATGTAGCAACCTAAATGGGAAAAGAACTTGAAAAAGAATAGATACATGTATATGTATAACTGAATCACTTTGCTGTACACGTGAAACTGACACAACATTGTTAATCAGCTATATTCCAATATAAAATAAAAAGTTTTAAAGAAAAGGTTTGTAGTTCTAGGACAAGACCACCTATTATTAGGTATAGACAAGACATTTATTCATCAACATTTGTTAGGTTTGGTTATGTGATTATATGAAAATGATTTGTAAAGGGACAATTAGGAAGATGCAAAGGATGGGATGTAATTATGCTAATCAGAAAATTCTCAGTTTAAGACCATCACCCAATCAATTGTAAAGCAACCCTTGTGAAGGATGGAATATCAGAAGGGTCTTGTTCAAGAATGGGGTCTGGTTTCCCCACTGCAACTTGTAGATCTTCATATGGGAAAGGATATCTGTTCCTTGAAAACAAAAATGCCAAGGGACATTTTCTTCCTCGCCAAGGTCATCTGTCTGGTTATTCCTTTACAGTCACTAGTGGTGTGACTGCTGTTAGATTTAGGTCTTCCTTTTATGGCCTCTGGGATTTTCCCAGAAAACTTAAATGAACTCTTTAAAGTGTATTTGATATACATATATTTCCTTCAATCTGTTTTTAATTCTTTATTTTAATTTTATTATATGTATTGTGCAGAAATTTTAATTATTAAAACAATAGTGTACTGCAGACAGGGGTAATCCTTAGCAATCAATTGATTTGTTCATTCATCCATTCAGTGAATATTCATCAAACACTTATGTGCCTGCCGTTGTGCTAGATGCTATGTTCTAAGAGGTACTAGGAGAGTCTCAGCCATCAAGGAACCCACAGTCTCAGAATGAGGGTAAGGACAGAGAGATAGGGAACTAGGAGGTGAACAGCCAATTAGAATACAGTGTGAACTTGCTAAAGTAGGGTGAGCACTTAGAGTAGGAAAGCCTCCCCTGAGCAGATGACATGGCGGCTGCACCATGAATGACCAGGAGGAGCTAGCTGGCCATGGCAATCAGAAAGAGAAAAATAACTATTATTACCAGCAAGAAAATTCTGCTATGGGAACTGCAATTGTTTGGATTCTTTTTGGGTGTGGGTGGGGCGAGGTAAGGTGGAGTGGCAAGCCTGATCTGGAAGGAACCTATTTGTCTGCCAAGGAGTTTGAAGTTTACCTTAAGGTCAATGAGGGACTTTTCAAAGTGTTTAGACCCTTGGGGGATAGGTGAGGCGACTTGATCAGATTCACTTTTGAAAAAATCACTCCACAGGGAGACATTTGGGATGCCTCAGGGGCAAGACCAGAGGCTGGCAAAAGATGGTGGTGGCTTGAACTGATCAGGTTCAGTTTAATATTTTTCAAAGAGAATGGAGAGTGGTGGATGAATTCAAGAGATTTTGGTAAAACTCACATGATTTCCTGATTGTAAGCTGTAAAAGTTGGTACTTTTGTACCTTGCCTGGAATCAACTTCTTCCAAACTCCTGTGAATGTTCTTAATGGCAACTAGAATGGTGAATCCTTTACAGAAGGTTTTCAATTGGCTTTGCCCAGATCATCAGAGGAATCACTATCTATGGCAGCTATAGCCTTACGAAATGTATTTCTCAAATGATGAGACTTCAAAGCCAAAATTACCCCTTGATCCACGGGCTGCAGAATGGATGTTGTGTTAGCAGGCATGAAAACAACATCAATTTTCTTGTACATTTTCATCAGAGCTCTTGGGTGACCAGGTACATTGCCAATGAGCAGTAATATTTCAAAAGAAATCTTTTTTTCTGAGCAGTATGTCTCAACAGTGGGCTTAAAATACTCAGTAAACCATGTTGTAAACAGATGTGCTGTCATCCAGGCTTTGTTGTTCCATTTATAGAGCACAGGCTGAGTAGATGTAGCATAATTCCTAAGGGTCCTAGGATTTTCGGAATGGCAAATGAACACTGGCTTAACTTCATATCACCAGCTCCATTAACCCCTAACAAGTGTCATTCTGTCCTTTGAAGCTTTGAAGCCAGGCATTGACTTCTCCTCTCTAGCTATGAAAGTCCAAGATGACATCTACTTCCAATAGAAGCCTGTTTCATCTACCCTGAAAGTCTGTTGTTTAGTATAGCCACATTCATTAGTTATCTTAGCTAGATCCTCTGGATAACTTTTCTTCTGCTTCCTCACCTCTCTCAGCCTTCACAGAATTGGAGAGAGTTAGAGCTTTGTTCTGGATTAAGTTTTGACCTATGTGATATTGTGGCTGGTTTGATCTTCTGTCAACTATCCAGAGCACTGAAACTTTCTCCATACCAGCAATAAGACTGTTTCACTTTCTTATTATTGTGTGTTTACTGGGTAGCACTTCTAATTTCCTTCAAGAACCTGCACCGCAACCCCCCTCCACCCCATAACTCGGCCAACTGCTTGAGGCAAGAGGCTTAGCTTTTGACTTGTCTTGGTTTTTGGCATACTTTCCTCACAAAGCTTCATCATTTCTAGCTTTTGATTTAAAGTGAGGAATGTGTGACTCTTCCTTTCACTTGAATACTTAGAGGACTTTGCTATTTTTTTAATTAAAATTTTTTTTATTTT